TTCTTTAAATTAGAGATAGGGCGATAATTTCCAAAAATTTCATGATCAAGAGATGGTTTTTTCAGTAACGGTTTTAAAACAGCAACTTTAAGAGAAGATGGAACAACACCAGTTTGAAGTGACAGGTTAACGATTTCACATATAGTAGGCAGTAATGCACCAAAATTATTGTCTAACATTTGATGAAATTTTCATGGTAATCAAATAAATGCAACATTATACATGTAAATGAAGCGAATAAACAAGCTTAATGCGGTCAGTTATAAATAGTGTACCCAACCACCTTAATCAGATTAGATCAGATTCAATTGTTCCTGCCGCCTGTCATGGCTACCATCACTTGATGGTGTTAAGCCTCTATATTAGACCCCCACCCTACTAATTGATAATCAAAGGTAACCCATGGTAAGCTCCTGAAGCTTTTTGAGTACCAATGAACTAAGATGATAACAAATGACACTAAGTGACACCAAGTCTTGGCGACTCATTTCATTGAGGGTATTGTGACCTGAGTAAGGTGATAGTCAGAGTTATGTTTTGTGCAAACAAACTGTTTTTATCAATCAAATTATTGGCTTCTGATTGGGTCCAATCCTTTCTTTTCCAATTTCTGGTTACAAAATTTTGCTACGATTGAGATTATCTGGACTGAGTCTAATCGATCCAATATATGACAAACCAGGCTGTTTTCGGACTCTTCTTCCAACTTAATGATAAAAACGACAATCTCGTATCCAATAAAAAGTATAAAGTAAACTAAGAATACAGTGAAACCCCTCTATACCGRACAGTGCTGGGACCGATAAAAATTTCCGGTTTAGCGGGGGTTCCGGTATACTGAGGTTTTTGCAAATTACTTTTGTTTTCGATTTGAATAGGTGCGATATCACACCTATTGAAAATTTGTTTGTGTCTAATCGTTTGGCGTCAGTATAAACAAACACGTAAACAAAAATTCAAGTAAAAATATCAACAATAAGTTCAAAAACTAAGCAAATTTCTTAACTTTTTTTCAAAAGAATGCCAAGAAGAAACATTCTAAATACGATCTGAACAAAATCCCCGGTAAAATGGACTGGGAATGAAACCAAACCCATGTGACATGAAAAAACATGGCGGCCGCAACTTCGCGAATCATTCGATCTTTAGTGTTTCTCAACAATACTAAACCTTCCTTATGCATTCTGTTTGAACATTTATATATTGAAAACAATTAAAAAGTCTTTATATGTCTATTTGTGAACAAGATTTACTATTTAAAGAAAATTCTCAATGATTTTGTGAGTTTAGAAGTTGTCTCTGTAGACTCAATTTATACACCCGCAAATACGCTAGTGACGGTAGTTCCGAAACAAAGGTACGTTCTTCCGGACTAGCGGGGTTGAATTCTATTGTCAAATAGCGTTTGGTACCGAAATTATTGTCCGGTTTCCGGAATAGAGAGGTTCCGGTTTACTGAGGTTTATTTTACAAAAGATATATGGGAAAAATTTTCGGACCAAAACGTTTGTCCGGTTTAGAGAGAATTCCGGTATACTGAGGGTCCTATATAGAGGGGTTTCACTGTACTCAAAATATGCTGCTGATTATGAAGTAATTGAAAATCCAAAATGCCTTCCTCTACAAACAAGGTGCGTGGAGTCTTCCAGTGACATCACTTGGCAAATAAAATGGATTCCATGGTTACGGGAATTACCCAAAACAAAATGCTGAGAAGCGTTATCCGAAAAATGTGAAATCTAGCCACTTCGATAGCTCTTCACGAGCTAAAAATCAAACAGAAACTAATGAAATTGAAATCATAGATAATTAATTGATAATGATCATTTGATTAATATTGATAGCTATCAGGAATCAATAGAAACTGATACTCACAACCCAAGCTCCCTTGATTAATCGATTATAATTGAATGTTATCGATCCTTATCAATTTTCATTGGGGAAAGTGATACTACCCTGACCAGCTGGCTGGGAATCTGAACCTAATGTGATAAGCAATCTAAAGATCAATATTGAATTTGATTTATTTCTTATCAATCTAAAGAATTTGGTTACTGTAAACGCACAAAACTGCAGTGCACAGCAACGACAGTGAATTTCATCAACTTCCCAAAACGGTCGTCGTAAAGTGTGTTGTGAAGGGCTATCATAAGTGCATGAGGATCGCTTTTTTCGTCAAGGTAGGAAAAGAATTCTTGGTGTTGAAGAAGCAAGGAACTAGATTTCATTGGTCATCACCAGTGCTCGATCCATGTTTACTGGATCAGTGTATTTGAACTTGTAAATATAACAACATGTGTCTCTGAAACTATGGTCTATGCTTGCACAATAACTGTGTCTTTGCGTATAACATCGATGAAAATCGATAGAGATTGATAGTGAATGATAAAAATCAATGAAGATGAATACTTAAGTTACACAAATTATCGAGGAAAATCTGCTGTCATTCTTTATGCAGTATTTGTTAGTCAGTGTATTATTTGTCACATTACCTTGAGATGACGAAGTCTTGAAGAATTTGGATATTATCTGACACCTTTAATTTAAATACAAATAAGTATTATTAAAGCTCAACTTTTCAATGATTGAAGATCTAACCTCGACTGCATCTTGCAGTGCACTGCATGTATTGTATTGTGTCATTCAGCCTCATGTTGGTCTTCCTTCTCATGCATCAGCTAAATTATTCGCACTCACACTTCAATATTTACTTACCCTTTTCCTGAAGAATTATGTGGATGCTTTCGTTTCATATTTCCTGCCACACATAGCTCATTTATCGCTATAACGAGCTTTTCTGTTATTTTGACTTAGTTTAAACGCGCGAAARTAAGGCCTTATTACGCACGCGCATATTGTTGTTACAGCTGGACACAAAGACTGCGTGTTCCATAACATTCAAGATGGCGACCACTTTTGGCTGGAAAAAGAAAACTCCTCATAATTTATCTCGAAAACGAGCTGCTGCATTTATTGAAAGTGAGGAAAACGGGGAAGATTCTTCTGAAAAGGAAGAAGAGCAAAGTTCGAGTTTGTTGTGTAAGCGATCACAAACCAAGGAGAGAGTAGAGGACAAAGAGTCGACGAGCAAGAGGTTGACCAAAGAGGGCATTGCTTTTGCTGAACAAAAAAGGTAATTATAATAGATAATCATTAAAGGCAATTGTTCTCATATATAAAGTATTGATAGTGTTGTTTCTATGTAGACTGAACTTGATGTAATTTGTCGTTATCGATAAATGCAGATACTCTGAAGCAATACGAAAATGGAATGATGCACTCACTTTAATTCCAAATGACGAAAAACTTCATGAAATGAAATCTCAGGTAATGGCTATCTGAAAGAAATACCAATAGTCTGATTCTTCTCTCTGGTTTCTGAGCTCCTCCCATTATCAGTGCAGAGCTCCCCCTAGCTCTTAGTATTGAGGGGGGGGGGGGTAGGCGGGATGTTGTGCAGAGCTCTTCCTGTCTCAGAGGAGTTGGGGTGTGGATATAGGTTACTGACCCAATGCCTGATAAGAGTAATGTTTTTTTTTTTGAGAATTGTACTTTCCCATGTCAGGTATTCTTACATTTAGATAAAACATTTGAAGCAATCAAGTCAGGCGAAAAGGCAGTGGAGTTAAATCCTAGATGGCCTGTTGGATATCAGTCACTTGGACGAGCTCAGCTTAAATTTGGAGAGTTTGATTTGGTAAGATGATGGACAGTCAGTGGTATCTTGATTACACCAAAACTAACTTATTTTAATTATTTTAACATTTTTAGGCAGTCAAGAATTTCTCTAAAGCATTTCACCTACGACCAGATGATTTAGAAGTAAGAAAAAGTTTAGCCGAATGCTCATGAATGTTTGCACTGTTCTAATTTACGATCTCAATCTTTATTTTAGCTACTGAAGGAAGACCTGATTTGGTCAGTTAAAATACGAGAAAAAGCAAGAACACATGACAAACTTATGGCAGCAAAGGAAAACACATAAAGTGGTGCAGCACAAGCTATATGAATGACATTCACATGTCGGTAATTTAGTGAAAAAAGTAAGACTTCAAGTCACTGTTGGGAGACTGCGAAGCTACAAGACAAATAGGAACTCTCTCTGCTTTCAAAATAGAAAGCGTGAAGACAGTTCAGCACAGCTAGAACTACTAGATTACTTGTTTTAGAACAAATTCCTTTAAGAAGACACAAAAACTGATATAAATATCATGAATGCATTGAATCATACAGTTATAAAATATTACAATGTGTTTCTTTCCAAAAATCAAAGAATAGAACAATATTTATTAGAATGTCTACAAGCATTTATTGGTTGTTCTCAATAGGAAACTTGCATGTCACTCAGGGTTTGGATACTCTTCTAATTTACGAAGCAAAGAAGTGATGTTTGAAGCAAATTCTTTACATTCAGGTTTGACACCTGCAAGCTTAACCTCTGCAAACATTGGATGGGGAGGTTGAGGTACTTGAGGACAAAACATGTTGTTGAGAATAAGCCACATAACATCTGGTTCCAAAGTGAAAAATATCTCAAATATCTGCAAAGCAATCTAAAGACAAAATATTTCATGAATGTTTGTTTGCCTTTTACAATCAAAATAAACCATTAATAGTTTCATTATTCGCATATTGCAATGTATTATTCTTTCTGAGATTATGAAGACTCAGAATCAACATTAATATCATATATCTTCTAATAATACAATGCTAAGAATTTCTCTGTGTGTATTATTTTGTTAAAAGGCCCTCTCTTTGCGAGGGGATTCAAGGCAAGTTTGAAGTGCCACCTTCATTCTCCACATATCCAAGACAGCAAAAAACCCCTACTAACATGGGGTGGAAAAGAGAGACTGTTCATTGTAGATACAATAAGAGAACAAGTTAGTGAGAGTGTAATATGAACTTGCATTAATGCTTGATGCAAATTAATGCAACTTATCAACACAAGCATAAGAAATTTGTGCTGACTGTTTGTTGATATTACTATACCTGCTGAAGATCCACCGGCTGCCTACAGCTCAGATACAGGGAACACACACAAGCTGCAGCATCAAGTTGAAGCTCACTGATCTCTAACTGCTTACATAGTCGTCCCAGTCCTTTAAGAGAGGCAACTTGAAGTTTATAGGCCTGAGAATGAGTGTAGACTGGACCAGCTTTAACACTAACTTCAGCTTGTTTGTTGAGGTATGTCAAGAGCCGTGGTATAACATCTTTTATAACCCGTCTTCTCATGAAGTCTCCTGAACATTCTGCCATTGTAGTAATGACATCTATTGCCTTAATAACCACCACCTGTGGAAAATGTTCTGACATAAATATTTGTATCTTGGTCTTTTTGCAATGTTTCCCCTCTCAATTAAATGACACAGTTTTATGTTTTATAGTAATAACAAGACATGTTAATTCATTATAGTGAGTTATCCAGGGGTCTATAATTATAATTATTGTTATTAGAAGTAGTAGCACTAGGAAGAGTTGTAGTGCTATTGCCAGTAAAGCACAGTTGGCATACTGGTTAAAGTGGTCGCCTCTCATCATGCGACCCAGGTTTGAGTCCGSCTGGTCTTCAAGCCGTATTGGTTCTGTCCTGTGCTTCAAAGGTTTTCCGGTTTTCCCCTTTCCAAAAAAAGGAACTTCTAAATTCCAATTGCACTTCAGTGGATGAAGAGCCACTGTGGAAATGCCACTGCTCAATCCTATTTATCATTTTTTTGGTGAAGTAGAAAATAGTACTTAGCTAATTATTATTAGTTACCTGGTCTTTGTCATTGAGCCGATTCATTAGAGGGGGCCATAAATGGTGTATCATTGGAAGCAAGTCATTCTCCCTTTCCTTAAGAGCTAGAACCCCATGGTACACTGTATCCAAAACCAAAATACGTAACACAAAAGAACTGTTTGACAAGAAATGGATACATTTCTCCAGAACCTAGTGTGGTGAGAATAAAACAGAAATCMAACATAAATCTTTAGGGCTGCTCTAAAACCTCAACAGGCAGCAAACAAGTACAGTATTCTACACTATACCACCACCTTCCAAGGAAACAAGTCAACATTTCTTGCCAATTGGCTACTTCTGAGCTCATATTACTAACAATAGTTCTTCTATCTAACCACAGTGTCTATATCTTACCTGCGTAGCATAACGAGCATGTAAAGGAAGTTTAGGTTTCTCATCTGTACTATACAAATCCTCATCCTCTGATTCTTTGTTATCTTGAGCAGCGTCTTCTTCCTCAATGTYGGCTTCACCTAAAACAATGCGCTTACGCTTGATGTATTGTTGCAGATTATTCTTTACTTTTTGAACAAAATCATCTTCCTTCAGCCTGAGAAAGAGTTTTTCTTCACTACAATGAGTTTTGGGTATCAGCTGCTACAAAAAAAGATGTGAAAACAATTAAAAGAAGATTAGGGCTTTACCTTAAATCCTTCATTCAAATAATACCTTTTTAACAGCTTGTTGTTGCTTACTCTTGTAACCTGCAAACCACTTATGAAGTGAGCACACCAAAGTATTGAGGACCTTCACCAAAGATATCATAATTTGGTCTGGATACAAGTCTAAAACAGTGAATATATCGTTCAAAGTATCTTCAATAATAGCAAGTACTTCTGGACTGCTGTACTGTAACATAACTTGCAATACACGAGGTGATTGTTGATTGATGAACACATACTTCAAGTCTTTTGCAATAGAGTTAACCAAGTAATCTGCATTTTGAGTTATAAGTTCCTCTACTGAAGAGTATCCACAGCTCTGACAAATAGAAACAAGAGTCCCATATGCAGATCGGCTGACTGCTGCATTGCTGTCACCAAGTTTTGATAGCACAAGGTAAAGCGTTTCTATCAGGAAAATGTCGAAATCCGGACCAAGGGCGCATGCAAAAACTCCAATTCCTTCCAGAAGTAAGCATGTCAAGAAAATGTTGCTGTTGAGAGTCTTGTAGGATAAAGCATGTATTGATCTAGGTTCTCGACTGACTTGAAGGGTGTTATTCTTAGCAGGTGTAATGCCAGTGTACTCTGCAGTCTCTATTGAGTTGGAGGTACACAAATTCCAGTTTTTCTCTGAGGTGTACATTGAAAGAAGGATCTCCACAAGACTTTTTAAAGTATTGCGGAAATTTGTAAAATCCTCTGTCACTAAAAAGAGAAGAAGGGTACATTTACTCTTAGAGTACAGTTGATTGGTAATATTTTTTGGCAGAAAAAAATTCACACCATTGGGAAATTCATTGTTGCAAAGAACCCTACCTGAACCAGACTTTGTTTCAAATTTCTTCTCTCTTTGAGTAGAGCCAAGGATGATCTCATTTAGAATTAAAATGACTTGCTTCCTGTGTATTTCTGATTCTTGAAATAAATCAAGAAAGTGGTCCACAAGAAGAGCAAGGTTGCCATGACAACCAAGTAAGTTGCAGCTATGACAAAGGGCATTTCTTATTTTATCATCAGTAAAATGTCTGAAAGGGTATCGTGGATATTGATCTGCAGTAACCTCTCCAGCAGGAAAGGAGAGTGGGTTCTGGCCGTGAGTGTCTGAAGGTATTACAGCTGATTCATGCATAGGTGATGTTTTTTTCTCAACAATGCCAACATCGGACACATCTAGTTCAAGTACCTTTAACAAGAAAACCAAAGTTTGTTATTTACAAATAACTACAGTGCATTCAAGGGTTTAGAAATGATGAATTGGCTCACAAGAATCAAGAATCAAGAAAGAGAAGAAAAAACAGAGAGAAATTTGTACTGTACCTGTATGAAAGCAAGAGAAAGTCTCTTCAGATGAGAGGTAGATGTTAACAACAAGCTGAATCTATCACCAAGGAGACCTATGTAACCATTCAACAGATTTAAGGTTCTGAGCTTTTTCTCATCATCTGCTGTTCTCATAACTCTTGGAAGTGCTGTCAGCTGGTAATGGAGATTTTCCTCTAAAACTGATGAAAATGATGTTTGTTCTGAAAAATGCAATTAATAAGGAGCATTAAATTTAAAACACTAAATAATACAGTATCAAATGGGTAACCAATATATGTACATATAAGTAACAATACATTACCATTTTTAATTTCATTTTTTGACATATATTCCAGTACTGCTTTACTTTCCGTTGAAACCTGAGAGTATTCATCTTCAAGGAAGCCAACCAAAATGTCAACCAAAAGGGAAGTACTTTTTGGCATTGACTTTGTGCAGTTAGAAAGAATCTTTTCACATAGTTTTACCACTGACAGACGAACTCTCCAGTTTGAATGACTAATAGAAGCTGAAGTAAGTTTCTCAATAAGCACTTGCAGTTTTATTGCAGTTGTAGTAAACCACTCCTCATTGAGATTAACCTTAAGGGTTTTTGTTGGCTGCTCCTTTTGATACATCTCAGTTTTTTCCTGGTGCTCCTTGATTTCACTTCCTGCTTGTAGTTTTACTAATGCAGATAATTTGGATAAGATGCCATCTTCACTATTATCTAATTCATCCATGTATCTGTCGTTCATCACCATGGAAACCAAATCACCAAAAATATCAATGGAAGATGAAAGTACAACATGACCTTGAGTTGGGTCACCACATATTATTCTAGTCAAAGCCATAGATATTCCTGGCAAAAATGATGCCATCGTTGAAGCAGCACTGTCATATACGCTAACCAGCATTTCATGCTCTTCTGGTGGAGTTCCCAGTTCATCATGTTGCTCCTCATCCCCATTTCTTAAATCAGATAAAGATTGACTATCACAAAATGAAATTTTCCTTAGACATGACAAAGCAGCAACCTGTAGATTTCTTGCCTTCTCCTGTTCAGCCATTGCGAGTAGCAGTGACACAGCATGGCCAAGAGAGGGAAGATAACGATCACGATATATCACACTACGAATGACTAGACCTGAACTGTTAATCAAGCTGTTCAAACAACGGATAATGCTAAGCTTCAGTTCCTCCGAAATATTTGCTACTTTTCCCGCCTCCTTAGCACTGAGGGAGACTGTTAACAAGTTGAACAAATCATCAAAAACATTGAGTTTATCAACTTTTACTTTACGTAAAAGAACTTCTATACAGTCAACCACATCTTGTTTGAGTTCATTCGAAATTCCATTCCTTTGAAGCGTAAGTTGTAATGGAAAAAGCAAATATTCTGTGAGTTTTGCAAGGCTGCTTGACTCAACCCCATCAAAAGCATTCCGTAATTCTCGTACATTTGAACGCGTTGGTTCACTTGACAGTTTAACGCATGTTGGACGGAGTCTCTGGAAGACATCACTTGGGTTAGTTTTCATTATGAAGGGTTTTTTTTTTTTCGTTTTAAGTCACTTCAAACATCACAGTTCTTCTGAAAGTCGTGCACGTTCTTCCTCCTCTTTCCTTTCCTCCATCTTGAAAATTGCTTAGGGACTGAGTACTAGTCGTTCCAGTCTAATATGAGAGAATAACGACACAGGCATCCCATACTTGATCCCCTTTATTTATTTTCAAAAATCAACTCATTTTTATGTTACAAAAAGAATTATTGATAAAGAACTGAAAAGGTTAACATCAAAAGTTGGTTGCTAAATAAAATGTAATTTAAGAGCAATTACCTACCACAGATTGTATAATAGTTTATAATACTTTATTATTCTACTGGACCTGGAAGGAACACGAAACAGTCATTCAATATTTCTCCCCTTGTATCCATTCCTCCAAATATAAACACTAACTGATGTGTTTTATCCTTTTCTGCATCATTTGCTTCTGGTTTTTCTTCTAGTAAAAGAATAGGACAAATAATTAGTCAGGTAATTCAAATAGACCTCAGTATCCACTATCTTCCCATTTCATTTCTATCTATCTTGTCATTATGTCAAGTCATTTTATTTTTCATTATTGCTTGACAAGTTGTGGTTTTCATAGTAGGAAACAAACAATACTGACTCAAAGTATGTACATGGTAGGACATATTCTTGGTTTTCACCTACGTCATCATGAATTTCAAAAGCCCAAATTCGCATTATAATGAAATAAAAGTTTCATAATCTTGTAAAGCGGTCAAAACTACACATTCCCGCCAAATTTTGGGGCTGCATAGCATTTYGTTGCGGAACTAGAGGTGAGTAAACATGACATAATTTTTGGTTAAAATGTATGGAGCGGCCATCTTGGTGTTCCAAGTTGGTACACCATCATGGCGGACAAAATTTCAAAGGCTTAAGATAATGGCATTTTAAATATTTTTGACTATATTTCACTTGAATAAACTTTAAATAGATCTTTAAAACGTGTCTAAGGGAAAATCTTTTAACTAGAGTAAATTATTTTACTATTTCGATCGCTATTTAGGGAGACGTGACAGTATTGCGTGACACAAACTCAACCTTCATAACTCGAGAACCAAACATCGAAATGACTCAAAATTTTTTCTCGTGACTTATAACACTGATTTCTAAAACATACTTGAGAAATGCCTTTATACGATTTATAGTTTAGATTTTGATGTTTTGATGACGTCATGTGAAAAGCGGCAATATGCTGTTTTCTTCCAGTTATTTATCCAACCACAACACATCATTTTACAACACATACAAGAACCAATCTATTCTCAAAAGAAGGAAAGATAGTCTCAAGTGAAAAATGAATAGTAAACAAAAGGAAAATGGTTTCATCACCTTGCATTGGCTGGAATGTCACTGTACACATAGCATGGTCCAGACGAGGATTAGGAGGAATGGCATCTATTTTTATCTTATTCCACTTTACAGTTACTAATAAATAAAATTGATATTGAAAAATTACTACATTTAATGACTGGTCTACATAAAATAAATAAGTGAATCAACTTTATTTAAAGAGGATGATACTTGATTGTAATTCAACATGATCATGGTCCTCATTTAACTTCTCTAATTGATGGGACCACCATTAGCATAGCCTTCTACCCACTAAGTGGGAGAACAATCCAACACAAAAAATGTCTGCAAAGGAGTCTATCATTAGCATGGTCATGATATCTGAGACATCTAACATTTAATGATATCTAATTACCATTTGCAGATCTATGTAATATTAAATAACAAAGGCAGCACTTTCTCCTAAGTTATTTTAAGATTCTGAGTGTCGGTCCAGCTGAGGCCTAAACCACAACCTTCCGCATAACAGACCAACACCCTCACCATCTGAGCTAACTGAGTGGTGCTTTACACCTATATTTGCCCTTGTTGATTTTACCTGTGTTTAGCATATAAAAGTCATCCAAAGCAGAACCAATTCCACTCATCCCACCAAAAACAAACAAGTTTTTGTCAACAGCTGTTCCTGCATGTGCTGTTCTTGCTTCTGGTACATCTCCTGTTGGTGATAGTCTGATCCATGCATTGGTAACTAAAGAAACATAAAAAATTCTGGTTTTTTAAATATGCATATTAATGGAAGTGTGAAATAACACTACTCACCTGTATTAAACTGATACAAGTCATCAAAAACACTAGTTCCAGCCATTCCACCATGTAAATAAATATTGGTTCCTATGGCAACCATGACATGTCCATGTCTACAAGAAGGTTTATCACCACAGGTTTCTAGCTTGTTCCACGTTGTGGTTACTAGCAAATCATATGCAAAATATCATGATGTCAAAATATAATGACATAAAGTCCTAATGGAGGTAGAAGCTTGTACAGGAGCAGGAATAAAGAATGTCTACTCTCAAAAGTATAATTATCCCTAACCTGCATCAAAGACATGCATTGAATCMTCCTGCACAGGATCTGGGCCTGTACGTCCCCCACCAAACACATACAAGCTATCTCCAATGGATGCCATGGAATGACATGTCCTGCTTGCTGGAGCTTCTCCATTTGCCTCCAATTTATACCATGTCCCATTATCTGCAAAACATTTTACGATCATATTTATCACCATATTTTGATGAAGTATGCATCTTTCATAGAAAAACAAAGTTGCAATCAGAATTTCTTTAAACTTGAGGAAAAGATGAGATCTATAGTGTAACCAAAGGTATCAAAGAAACAGTTTGCATTATTACCAAATGCATTCAAAATGCATTTGGTAATAATGATAATGTAGTTGATGTTGATGAGGATGAGGATGATGATGATGACTGATAATCTTCATTTATCTGGGTTACAAATACAGCGATAAGGGTTGGTTTCCTATTTGGCCCACCACTAAAATATAAAAGCAAGCAGATTTGTTTTAAATTATGTGGATTTTGGTAGTAACTTAAATTTAAGACAAAGGCAAATAGGGGYTCTGACTTTGTGTTTGAGCTATACAGTAAGAGTCTGAAGATTTGAAAAAGTTGTTTTCTTGATATTTGGCTCATCAAAACATTTGAATGATACTGGATCATGYGTGCATGCACTTAACACTCATACGTAGAAAGAATAGTGCATGAAAAATCTGACAAATTTGTCTAACCTGTGTTTAAACTTTGAATATCATTGAGATTCTGTGACTGACATGCACCWCCAAATACTAGAACACTGCTGGGGGATGAGGCTGGAATGAAGGCAGAATGCTCATATCGGGCAAATAAACCCTTCCATTCTGTCTTGTTCCATTTTATTGTATCTGTGATAAAATTACAACATAATGTAATTAAACATTTCTGTTACCAAGGAAACAAACTATACATCAGACCAAAGAATGAATTACTGTTTAAAAAAGACGAATCTTAATTACTTAGTTCTAAGATATAGACTTCATCAAAAGGGCCATCAGGATTTGCACCGCCAACGATCAATACATTTCCCTTCCTCGGCCTCTGTGACTGAGCGTCTTTACTTTTCAGGCCAAAATAATATGTGCACGTATGTCCAACTCTTACACTTGGACTTTCACCACTAGGTGACAGCACGTACCATAGGTTTGGCTTGATGTTGTCTAGGTCATCTAGAATGGGATGAACTTCCATGAAACCTAATATGACATTTAAACTATTCCAATAAAATCCTGTTTGTTTGGGGAAAATAAGAGATGCGAGTCCACGGCGAAGAAAACCGCTGGTCAGCTGATTCGTTTAGCTCCCAGTCCACCCTGTCGTGAGTGAAAACAAAATGGTGTCGAACGAGTTCATGTTTACAATATGTTATATAGTTGTTTCTTTGTGCTTTATTGCGCCACCAAAAGAGTTTGTAAGCGCAGGATTAACAGTACAGAATATGTTATCAAGCTATCTTGGAAGTGAGGAGATAGACTTTACTGGATTTCACTTACGAAGGACAACCGCTACCGTTGTTCTTCATTCACTTTTGCCCCTTGGTCAGTGACGTGTACGACATATTTTGTGATCAGTGTGGCTGAAATCTTGCTTTACTATTTCCTTATCCTGTTTTAATTATTTATACACCAATACCTGTCTGAATGAAAGACCAAATAGCGATAAACACCATAGTTTAATTAATATCATTATATGGCATAGTTTAATATCATTATTAATATTATTATTATTAATTTACATCGTTATGTTCCATAATTTTAAAGCCTGACTTTAAATTTACGGGGGTTGACATCAAATGGGGATTTAGTTCCTCCCTTTCAACACCCTTTCTGCGTTTCTTTGTCATTTTTTTGTTTTGTTGTTGTTGTAAATAAATTTGTGATAAAGAAATAAATGAATAAATAACATAGGAAAAATATGCTATTGTTTTTAGGTTATTACGTTGGACTTGGATTGGTCTCCTTTTATAATGAATATGACAACAAAAACTTGTACATGTTAGAACCTGGTAAAGCAACCCTTGCTGTGAACTGCTTTCTGTTGCTGTGTATTGGCATCGCTATCAGTGGATTTGTTATAGCGAGATATTGGTCATGGAACAAATGGTAACTGTACCTTTCACATTTTTCTTATTATAGATTGATGAGAGTTGCTTACTTGATAATACACAAGTCAGTTGCTGGTTTGAATGCACTAATTTCAATCATTTTTTATTATCAAAACTGCTAGGGCAAACCACCCCTTTGCCAAAGTTCTTGCCAAACATGGTGAACCTTGGAGAGCAGCTGCTTCATCAATAAACATTGAATTCAGGAGAGTCAGTAAATTCTGCTCAATTATCGGTGGAACAAGCCTTTACATTACAGACTCTTGGATTGTTAAGTGTACTACTTATAAAGTGCATGTTGCTCACAAACCAGATGTGCACTTGTCTATCATTGCTACAGAAGACCATGCTATTTCACATGAAAGCAATATGGCTGTCCAGTTTTTAAACATTCAAGTAGCCAGCATTAATCCAGCAGTTAAGCCTTTCATCATAAGATTAATTTCCAGTGATTATGGGGAGTTGAGGGAGAAGATACAAGCACCAATAAGGAATGCTCGAAACATCATCATACACCAGTCATTAACTGATCGCTTCCTTGAAGCTTTTAGATATCAAGTGCAGCAAAATGAAAGATATCTAATCAGAGATAATGAGGTAAGCATCATTTGCATTAGGGAATTTGCAAGTTTTTCATTTTATTTAATACTCCCATTTCAAGTTTGCCTTGGCCCAGCCGTAGCTTCGATAATGTGCAAAATCCTTAGTGGTGTGCTAGGCTAAGGCTGAGCAAAAGAGAACTTGAAACTGGAGTATTAAAGGAAAACATTTAATGTCAGATGTGTTGTCTGTTAACTTGTGAACCAAATCCTATCTTTCCTTGATCTGGTTGTTAGAAGGCAAATGCCTAACAACTGAATTGTGAAGAGAATCAAATATGAACACTAGACTATTTTTTCTTTACTTCTTTAGGAACCAGAGCCTTGTATTGGATGCATGCAACAACAAGCTAACATCAAGCTACAAAAACTTTGTGCTAATGCAGAGGAGGGGGACTGTGTGTCATGCTTCTGTCGACCTATGTGGTGTTTAGAATGCATGGGAAAATGGTTTGCTAGTCGGCAGGACCAGACCAGACCTGATACCTGGATGTCATGTCGATCTCCGTGCCCAACTTGCAGATCTCCATTCTGCATGCTTGATGTTTGTTTGATTTCAAAACATTAAAAGTACTGAATAACAGAGAAATTTATTAACTTCACTCAGGGAAAAGGGAACATTAAACAACATTTAATATTATATTATATTTGAAAATCTATTTTGAAGTGATAAATTACAGGTCCTGTTTAGCAGTTACAATATGAAATTTCGTAGCCTCATAGACCTTAATATCTACATTTCTGTCATGTGAAATCTTTTTTACATTAAACTTTGTCTTCAAAAGTCGTATGAAATCGTTGTCTCTTTTATATCGAATCCTGCAGGACAATAATATAACTGATTCATTTCCACTTAAATCGGTTAGGGTTTTCAACAAATTTGGAAAAGTTTCCTCAATGTACACAATGTCAGCTCCGAGAATTATGTCATAAGGTGCCGAGAAAATTGATGTGTCCTGTCCCCAGTCCAGCGCAGTAACTTTCAAGGAGGTATCTGACAGTATTTTCAAATTGTTTTTCACATTAGTTTTGGTATAGTTCAGTGCAGCTTTTCTATCTGTGACGACCACATCCCCTCCTAATATAGCTGCAACCATTCCAACCAGTCCTGTTCCTGCTCCGAGTTCAATAACTTTCTTATCTTTGATCCAGTTACCTTTGCTTTCTAAATACTGGCTTAAAACAAGAGCAGCATCCCACACAACGGCAGCCACTCCTCCTTCTTCCCAATCTTGATGAATTGTGAGTGTCCTTCCAACAAACGTAAAGTTTCTCTCGGATTTGTGGAAGATTCCAAGTGTTTTGTGAGGTGAATAAGGTACCAATGCCATTGAGGCTGACGCTTTCTGAATCGTAATGATAAACGGTAAAAACTTTGTAAATGATAAAAGTAAAACTACATAAGAAGATAAAGATCCCATGGACAACGACAAGTCCCGAAAAACAAAGAATTTTATCAATGGAAAGCAATTTTCTTTTGAAAAGGAAGAAAGAATTAAGCAGTATTTGATCAGGCGTTGCTTGTGTGCTAGTTCCATGCTCCCTACGTAATACTGCGGTGTTTTCTGGGAAATGTGGACAAAATAAGAAATGATTGTAAAACTTTACACCAACGATGACTACATAATGATTTCATGAGTTTTCCTGGAAGCCATTGTCTTAAATGCTAAAGATACAAAGAATTAGTTTATTTAGTACGTTTGTATAGCGTTCGTACTGAGATCAGGCTGTGATATGGGATCCAAAGTTGACGCTAAAGTCGTGTTATTAGGCAAAGAATACAGTGGCAAGACTAGCCTTGTGGAGAGATACCTTCATCATCGATTCAACGAAGGCGTCCCTTATCAAAATGTAGGTATCGTCAAGATTTAATCCTGGTTCACTAATGCAAAATCTCTAGAGACCGGTTAATGGATTATGCAATTTCAGTGTCAAGCGATAATATACTGTGTTTTCTTAACGGTATAAGTTACATGTATATGTGCAGCTCATCATAATGATGTATGTATTCGATAATGCATGTTGTATACATACTTGTTTTGTTATGTATAGGTAATCATATGGTTTCGAGTGCAATTTGGAGTTAATTAATTTGCATGAGTGGGGTTTTCAAAGAGCTTCAACATAGCACGATCCCTATAGGGCGAGTGCTATTAATTTGAGGTCATCGAAAAACACACCAGTGAAAAATTAATTCCAAATTAGAAGAAAAAACCATATGATTACCTATAGACATAAATAACATTAACACACCAAGTCACATCAAGTTTGTGTTGTGTGCATACAACATTGATTGTAGTAGTGTGTGCAAGTGAATGTATGAGTGTCCCCAATTAGTGCAAAAATGCTAGAACAACACTAGACATGAACAATTCAACAACAAAGAATTTATTTTTACTGCATAGTGTAAGACACAGTTCAATTTTTCTATTTTAGACTATTGGTGCAGCATTTGGAGCAAATAAAGTTATAGTTGGAAATAAAAGCATAACCCTTGGAATATGGGTAGGTGCATGTCAGAATGAATGATATACTGCTATATTCCCAGTTGAGTGTGCCACTCGCCAAACTTCACTGGGTCGTGCTTCTCCTAACACTTCTCTCGTGTTCTGCCAACCACCGTGTACTTTATGACAGCACGCGCGCGTTTTCTATTTCTTCAATATTATAATGTATTTCTCAATTATTATGAGTATGAAACAATCATTATCAATTTAAAATTTATCCATAATGTGTACAGGATACAGCAGGCTCAGAACGTTATGAGGCTATGAGTAGAATATACTATCGCGGGGCTAAAGCAGCTGTGGTTTGTTATGGTAAGTCTTGTAAGCCTGCCCTGTCAAATAAAGACTAATAAACAAACTGTTCTGTATGTGTCCTAAATATTAAGTATAAAATGAATTCTTGACTTGATAGCTTATAGAATCATTGCTGTAGCTGCCAACAGCCCCTACTTGGATTAAGAGTTTGTAGATGAGCTGCTTAATCAAATTCAGCCTTTTATTATCAAACCACACTCACAGATAACAAGAAAGTATGACTCTACGCATGCTCACCATACATTCTAAATCATTTCTATAATGTTCAACTGCTGGGAAGTTAACACAACAAATGTCCATGATGCTAACTAGTGATTACTATCTTATGTTTCAGAATTGATAGAAAAATCTAGTTTTGAAAGAGCCAAATTTTGGGTCAACGAACTCAAAACATATGAACCTGTAAGTATAGTATTATTAGATATTCCTCATGCCCTCGTTGTTTTAATATTTTTTTAATGCAAGTGATTGATAGAAACGTTCAGCTACTATATGTACCTCATGTTACAAACCTTCCTCCTCTCATAACTTACACTTTAGTGCATAATATACATGTATTGCACTTTATATTTTATTGTTTATTGCGATGAGATTTTTGTTTCTTTCATCACTCAGCAATTTCTCTATTTTATCTTTAGAACTGTAAAATATATCTTTGTGGCACTAAATTAGATCTTGCACAACAAGATAAAAAGTTGCGAAAAGTAGACTATCATATGACAACAGATTATGCTGAAGGTGAGCAACATTGATTGAACATTTACAAATTGTGTAGCCTAGGTACCTATAATTGGCTGATTATGTTTTTGATTTGATTAGAAATTGGTGCTGTGGTATTTGAGACATCAAGCAAAACAGGCCACAATGTTGGTAAGTTGTTTAGTAAAGTGTTGAAGGTTCATAAGGATATTGAACCTACAATAAAAATATTGATATTAAAACTAAATGTGGACACAAAAGCCAAGTCTACAGTAGTTACATTTACACCCAAACATGAAATATATTACTATTTAATTCTATTAAATCAACAGAAGAAGTTTTCTTTGAAATTGCAAAAGATTTTGCAAAGGATGAGGAAGTTCCTAATGAAATAGGTGAGTCAATATGATAAAACTGTGCTACTGGGGAGGTGCTACTGACCACTGCTGTAAAAGGTGCTATGGACCATTGCTAAGAGAGGTGCTACTGGGGAGGTGCTACTGGGGAGGTGCTACTGGGGAGGTGCTACTGGGGAGGTGCTACTGGGGAGGTGCTACTGACCATTGTTAAGAGAGGTGCTACTGGGGAGGTGCTACTGACCATTGTTAAGAGAGGTGCTACTGGGGAGGAGCTATTGGGGAGATCCTACTGGGGATGTCAGTTCTCTCTCATCCTGCAGCAAAGGATAGCCGTTCTTAGACTTTGATCACCCCATTTCATTTACGTTTCTGAAACTACTTTTATAGACTGATTTGTTATATATGTTTCACAGATGATAAAGATACTCTTCAACTCCAAGAAACAAAAGATAAAAAAGTTGGTTGTTGTTGATAAAGAAGTAAAATGTTTTTCTGTTTATAAATGTGGCTAGTAAAAGCACTATTGAAGTAAATCGAAGATAAAAAAGTGGAGCGATTGCAGAATACCCCAGCCCAGTCCAGTCCATGTTTTACAGATTTTTCTCAGTCCAGTCCAGTCAATGTTTTATAATATGCCACGCGGCTACGCAGTCAAAATTAATGCGTCAGGCTTCCTGTGTCGAGAACAAGGTATAACTACGAAGTGGCTACGCGGCTACGCAGCTACGCAGTCAATATTAAGATATTCCGAACCATATTTTGGTATCCCCGTGTATTAAGACCCGTAGCCGTAGGCAACTGCCTACACAGTATGATCTGGATAGGCTGTGAAGTATTCCTGTTTGTTGAAGTTATTCAGAACCATATTTTGGTATCCCTGTGTATCTTACATGTAGCTGTAGCCAGTGGCTACAAGCAGAGACACATTCATGAGTGGTGGGGTATTCTGCAATTTAGCCAATATTCTAATAATAATACAATAGTTCTTTCATATTACTTTACTTTAAAAATTTTCAATTTGCTATATATTTTCACTTGCTTTTTTAAGCAACCAAAGAAAAGAAAGAAAAATTACTTTTCTCTTAGGGTTCAAATAGAATCTTTCAGTTTGCTCAAAGGTGCTAGGACAGACCGATTGGGTTRGTTATATATCGGTGTGTTTGTTTCACTTATTCGTAGATACTAAATAGAGTCCACTAATATATGTTTGTTTCTAAATAGACACTAAATAGGGCTCACGAGAAGAAAAAAACAGCTAAAAACTAGTATGAGCTGTGTCGGTGTTTCTAATTAAACAGTAATGATAAAAAGGTAAATTATACACCGTGAAAAGATGAAAAAACTGACTGACGTTTCGGACGAAGGACTAGCGTCCGAAACGTCAGTAAGTTTTTTCATCTTTTCATGGTGTATAATGCATGTATCCTTTTATCATTAAAAGTAAACGTCCTTTCCAACCAACGGTCCGTCTGGTTTGAATCAGCCGTACGATATGAATATATTTACCACGTCCACCAACGGTCCGTCTGGTTTTAATCAGCTGTACGCTCTGAGTATTTACCGCTGCACTACCGTGTAAAGCAGCGCCGGCGTCACTTCGTTAGCGATTACTTTCTTTAATAAGTTAATCAAATTTACCTTCAGTACAGTAAAATAGACCGGGGTAGGAAAGCAAGAGCGGTTCTTTTGTACTCTCGTCTGCTCGGATAATCCAATTATTTTGGCAGGACCTAGGGCACTTCGTTTACACAGCAATGACAGATATGACTTTGGCGAACGCAAAACGAAGGGCATACCTACCTCTAAAGTATTTGACTGTACTGAAGGTACAATCCGTGTGTCCTAGCGCCCTTGGTTTGCTCCTAATGGTTCTCTGCCATAAACACCTTACTTTTATAAATGATGAAAAAAATTCTATGGAAACCTCTATTTCCTTGTGACTAGATAAAATTGCTCTATTTATGTTTTAATGTCCATTCATAAAAAAAGAACAGTTCAAAGCAGGTCTCTCTAGGTTATAATCACTGATAAAGTATGTCTACGGACATATTATTATAACTTGACAATATGATAGAGAAATTAATAATGGATTAATTATAGATATATTTTATGACGGACAAGGATTATACATTAGTTATTATTTCAATGTAAATAAAGTATTTTATATAAAAATATTTGCCTGCTTGTGTTGGCCTTTTTAGCAGGAGTACTAAAAAAACCCCGACAATGCCAGAAATGATGTTACTCTCTTTAAAACGTAGTTGTACCTCGACTATATCTTTGTCTAATGTTTTATAAGATGAAAGCAGGATATTCAAATGCTACAACACAACAGAACACAACAGAACGAGAGATTGGGCTGCCTGTACATGAGTCAAGACGTCTTTTAAAGGCCGAGGTATGGCAATAGGGGAGGGGAAGGGGGGGGCGTAGTGGTAAAACGCTCGCCTCACATCTGAGGTTTGGGGTTACGAATCCCAGTCGTCCCATTTGGGCTGAGTTGGTTGGTTCTCTTTCTGACCCGAGGGTTTTTCCGGTCCTCCGGTTTTTCAACCCTAACTAATTCAAACTGTGCTCCGGGGTCATACATGGACTTTATAGCGGCTGCCAGAGGCATAAACAATGGCTTCCTACTGTTTTTCTTATGCTTCCGTCACATTCATTTTCACTAGAACATAACGATCTTATGCTTATGCTCATGCTTATGCTTATGCTTCCGTCGAGTTTGCCTAATGGTCGTGGGTCGTGGGTCGTGGGTACGAAGTCGTGGGTTTCAATTTTTTTCCAAATTTATCATTTATAACTTTAAATTTATCACTATACTTCCAAAACGAAATCGTGTGGCTWTGTTCCTATAAATTCGGTGTAATTGTGGGTTGTGCAAGGTAGTCTGTGTCTGATTTGCGTGACAGTGTTATAAAAATACACCAAAATTGGTGGCCTGGAAAACCTTTTAGCAGTTTCTTACATTTCATTTATATTGGCCTTGCTGTTCAAACATAAATTTGGCAGAAAAAAAGAAAAAGAAAAAGAAAAAAACAACAACAACTAGTCTTCTACCTTGTCTCGCTTCAACGAGGAGTCTTCAATGGACTTTATCAAGATGTTACCTAGAAACTGGAGCGACAAGCCGCTGCAAACGTGTGAAGTTGATGGACAGCAAATTCGCGTTTTCGGCATCGCGTTTCTCCTCGTTCTATGTTTTTTGTCGTTGCGAGAAAGCTTGTTTCATTATTTCTTAGTAGTTTTCTGTGTTAVTATGGAAATCCTGAGTAAACGACTCGAAAGTGCGGGGTTTACCGTTACCTACGACTCCAAGGT